CCAAACCCCCCCCCCCCCCCCTGGGCTCCGGCAGTCTAATGATCCATGAGTCATCACATGTAATACAGTGTATTAGATGTGCGGATGCCAGGGCACTTACCACAGACGGTGCCTACAGGTGGAGAGGTGAGCAGTCTCTGCTGCAGGGTCAAAACTTGGGTGAGTATATCTTCTTTATTTGGTCCCCAGGGGAAAAACAAGTAGTTAACCCCTGCAGTGCAGGGTTGCAGGTCTTTTTGCAGAATGTAGGTAGAATGTTACTGTTTTGAATAGATACCATTAAAATGTGTGTTGCAGCAAGATAGTTATATATTAGCATCCAGGAATGCTCATATGAGTACTATTTTTTATGGCAGGTGTCCAGACTGCTCATATCTGTCAGATTTGGCTACAGTCTATGTTCTAATCTGCAGGTGTATGGACATTTTTAGTATGGATGTATTCTTAACAAAAAAAAACATATGGCACTGTTCATCTAAAGTAGCCATTTTAATGTTTTATTATTATTTCCAGCTCCTTCAATCAAACTGAAGAAGGTGAACAGTGGTAAGTAATTGTAATTAATTTATTTTAAACTGGAATTTGGACTCTAGACATGGTGGGCAAACCAGCAAGTTGACTTAATTGGTGCCCTTCCACTGCTTCCCCACAACACTGACTTTGCCCACTTAAGTCAAGATAAAAGCCCTGTGTAAGGGCTTAGCCTTCATAGGGCTAAAAACTCTCCAAACCCCCATGTGACAGCACTTGAGTCTGGCTATTGGCCGTTTAAGCACCAAGTACCCGTCACGGGAGGGCAGGGAGAGTCACATGATTCCACATACTCTTCTATATGCAGTAGGTGCACAGAACAACTGTAGCAAATGGACCTTGAGTATAAGTTCCGGGGTAGAAGGGGATCTTAATTCTTTTAATGTGTTGTTTATGAAGTTGTTTATAGGTGGAAACTGATATTTTGAATATGTTTATCTTTATTGTCTTTTCACACGTGTGATCATTGTCTTTTCATGTATTGAGAACTGACAGTTATGAGCACTGTATGTAGTCTCTGGACTTCATGTGTGTAAAGTGGACATTAGTGAACAGTCAATCATGTATGCACAATCTGACTATCTCACAATGTCTTCTTGGCCAGCAAGAGCACTCTACTTGCACAAGCACTCCTGTTTAGGGCATGAAGGAGGGGGTCCCTGCACCAGGAAAAATAATAGTGAACAGACAAGGCTTTTAGATTTGCCCAATTTGTTGTTTCCTGGCAACACTCATTAAAAGTAGTTGTGCACTGCCTTATAGCCTTTGGATCATTGGGATTGTTATTTATTGTCATTGGGCCTTTTCTAGGGAGCAAGGTTACATGTATTCAGGTGTATTTCTGCTGTGTTTGGCAATGTAACCAGGTTTCTGTTTAATCAGATATTTAAATAAAGTATGTCGGGTTTGTTGCAAATTTTACCACATTGTTTTCTCATGCTGCTTTGTTCTCTAGTGTTGTAGGAAGTAAGATACCTCTGAAGTATGTCACCCCTGTCATCTTGACCGTTTTTGTGTTGGCTCTATACCTCCACGCTCAGCAGGTGGAGTCTACAGCTCGGTTGGATTTCCTTTGGAAGCTACAGGTAAAAAGACCAGAACCACTTAACTACCATTTATATTAATGTGATGTTTTAGGATAAAATATCTAATTGCATTACCCCACCACCAAGCTAACTAGCTAACTACCAAATGTAGGAAATTGGTACAGAAGTTTGATTTCCTGTCACTTCAAGGCGACACCTGAACTTCGCAAAATAACTTCCATAAAGAAACAATGATTAGCGCACTCATAAGCGTGTTGTTTTTTCTTTCAAAATAGTTCTAATTGATATACATACAAGATATATCCAAACAGTGTACAAAAAGAGAAAAAACATATGTAAGCCCGTACAATTATTTGCAGGGAAACAGAACAGATACAATTGGCACATAGGTTAAAGTATAAATTCTTAGTTGTAAACGTCCAAAAGCCCAAGTTTCTATGTCCAAAAAGAAGTGGTAATAGAAGAGCTATACAGATAAAGGCAGCAAAAATTATCTTCCTAAATGCCTGACATTTTAAGGTCTAACTGAGACCTTTAATTTGGGGGAACTTTTCTCCTTGTATGCCCCTTTGTATTTGGTCTTTGGGAACAAGCCTTTATTTAACACTCATATGATATGCCTATGCTATGCTTAGTGTACAATTAATTGTACCTTCGCACAAAATATACTGTACAATAGACAGTTGTAATGTTTACTAGAAGGTAACATTTGTTACTCATTATTGGTACTCTCTGTCATATTTCTCTATTCCTTTACTATTTACAGATTTGTATCCTTCTAGTAGCTGTGCATCATGCAGTGCATACAGCATCATTGCTGATTTGACTGCTAAGATTAACCACTTACCAGATAAGCCACATAGTGATTGTGTTGTGTTCAATAAATGTTTATAGGTCTTTACTGGCTCATACAATTGCACTTGAATTAATAACAGCAATCTAGTAGAGTCACTGCCACAAAATCCACAGCATATATATAGCTTGCCATAGACATTAAAGGGTGGTTGGCTGTGTGGACATAAATTAAACAGATTTGGGCCTGTTGAATGAGGAACGTAGATATGTTTATGGGGACAGCCTAATCCTGGGTAAAATAGTAGATGAAAATGTTAAACATTGACCGCTAGAATTTTCCTGAAGGTCAGTTAGCTGTGAATATCCGTAGTATCCTGATGATCGCTAAAGCTATGAGAAGAATTTCCCAGTCTAACCAAAACCAGAAGCATGATGAGGCAATGATTTAATGTTAAAGGGTAATCTTAAGTATTGAGCAAGTATGGTGGTTGTTATATATATATATATATATATATATATATATAAATCTACTATATACTGTATATGTACAGTCAACATACGGCACAGGGCTGGAGAAATTGCAGGAGCCGTTAGTCAATGTTTCCTAAAAATGACAGCTGGCGCCCAACTTGTGAGCTTTTCTCTAGTTGTTATCAATGGAGCTGGCTTCTAAAAAAAATTCTGCTGTTCCTGAATGTACCAGACTGGCTCCTGAATTCCATATGAATTTGTCTACCCCTGGCATAGCAACAAGGTTTTTAAAACATTAACAATCACTGATAACACTGTTTACACTGACAAATGCATTCTCATATTTTGCATATCTTAAAAATATATGTTAAAAAATATATATATATATTTTATCACATGAGATACTGACTCCAATATTTAACTTCTAATACTGAACCATTGCTGGTGTCTGATTCTTTTTAAAGCAATGTTGTCATAAAAAAAAGGGAAAAAGCAACTTGTAAAAAAGGTCATAATACTTACTTGTATACCATGTGTGTCTCTGATCTCTCATAGCTATACCAGAATATCTATCATTTAACACTTCCAGGTGTGTCAGAGTCCTGTGTTCCCTGCCGCAAATTGTGTTTTCACCCACTGGTCATTATATTACTACTGTGGCCTGTGGTAACACAGCGCTAAGTATGGACACAGGCATTCAACACTCCTGGAATTGTCAGGTGCTGAAGGTCCTTTGGTCGCTTTAGTTCTGCAAAAAAGCAAAGATCAGACTCATGAGCAACATGACAGGTAAGTATTCTTTTTTTTTTTTTCTCCTTACTTTCTGCATTTGCCCCAGTTTTTACATGACCATTTTGGGTTTGGTAAAGGGGCATACATACAGGTTTTATTTCATTTCTGACATTCAATGTTTGCCTGTACTTCCAAATAGGCAACCGGAGAAAAGGAGGAAATGGAGGAGCTGCAAGCTTACAATAGGCGTCTCCTACACAACATTCTCCCGAAAGATGTGGCAGCACACTTCCTGGCTAGAGAACATCGAAATGATGAACTGTATTATCAGTCCTGTGAATGCGTATGTGTCATGTTTGCCTCAATCAGCAATTTCTCAGAATTCTATGTTGAGCTAGAGGCCAACAACGAAGGAGTGGAGTGCCTGCGTCTACTCAATGAGATTATTGCCGACTTCGATGAGGTGATTTTATACATTTCTTTTAAAGCATATTTTATGTAATGTTAAGATGTCCAATCAGATTGTGCATTTTCTTTCAGATTTACCAACATCTAAGTAGTCACATGGCTGAATGAGTATGAGTAGAATAGAGTTTTTAGGTGGGCCTTTCACTGTATGGCTCAAAGTAAGGCTCAATCACCACGCTTTAAGTCCAGCAGCCCGATGTGTATCATTTTACAACATACTAGTTTTAAAAATATACTCTAGTCATATATAAAATTCACACATAAATTCAGCTCTGTAATCATCAATACATTTTTTATGTATTTTTTAAATGCAAACAATGTACCTGAATTTGTGAGAGGAAGAAGCATACACCATCCTCACATAAGCCAGGTTTCTTCCCAGCAACTCTCCGCCAGCTAATGTAATAGTGGTTTATACCTGATGGGACACAGGAGGATTGAGATCGGCGGTTTGGAGCAGCGTGCAGTGGGCGGTGTAGAATCTGACCATTGGAGCTGTTATGAGAGACAGTGTCAATTCGAGTATCGCAGTATGGGGATTGACTTTCCCCATACTGGTTAAAGCTTTAAAAGTAATGTTCCAGGGCTGAGCAGACTGTTCACTACATAGTTGTTGGTAAACCTGAAGGAAATTGTATAGAGATTGCGTGTGCAGCTTTAGTTCTGAAGTTTCGCACCCTATCAACTTTTTTTTAAAATGTGTTTATTACAGGTACTTTTTTAAAGCGCTGACATTTTATACAACACTTTACATATTGTACATTCACATCAGTCCCTGCCCTCAAGTCACTGTCCCTAGCTCACATTCATACATACATGGGATGATTTAGACAGGAGCCAATTAACCTACCTGTCCTTGGGGTATGGGTGGAAGATAAAATACCCAGAGGAAACCCACACAAGCACAGGGAGAACATGCAAACTCCATGTAGGTAGTATCCTGGTTGGGATTCAAACCAGGGACCCCAGTGCTGCAAGGCAGGAGTGCTATTTTCCTTAGCTTACATACTGGCTAAAGTTCATCTACCGTATATATTTGTTTTCGTTTTGTTATAAATAGCATTTTTTTATAGGTCTGCATGTGTGGATGCTCTTTCATTAAAAGATTTCTAATGATGTCTAATTTTGCAGCCAGTAGTTTGCTGAATTGCTTTATTCATTCATGTCAGATCCATGTTAAAGTTTTGCTATTTTAAGACGGCCTCTTAATTTCAGATTAAATGGTTTGCTCTGAGGCATATTCAGCCAGTGTTTGTTGGTGTGTGACAAATGAATCTCTGATTGACATGTTTCCTAAACTTGTAGCTGCCGAAGAACAAAACGCTTAATTGGTTTTGCCCTAAATCACACAAACACATTCAATAAAAGTTTCTGTAGCTTTCTTCATCAACCAGACATCGGGAACATTTGGATGCTGATAAAGTGGATGCCAGCATAATCACAGTCCACAGAGAGATTGGTAGAGAAGATCACAATGTGCTGATGAAGGGTTTTAGTGTTGGATAGACTTTTCCAGCATTTCAGAGTCTATCCTCTCAGAGCCATTCAATTGTAGTTCTTTATTAATTATCATGTGGGACTTTTCTATATGCAGAGTTAAAGTCCAGCTCATTTACTGTGCTGATCATGGCTGTCACGGTAAAAGGACACAAGAGGCCTGAGGTTTCTAAACCTTTGTTCACTTTATTAAAAAAAAAAAAAGTTGTGGCTGGATTTGGCATTCCTAATTAATCTAATAAGTCCACCAAAGTGTATAAACTAGGGATTCACCGAATTTGGCCCAAAATTATAGTGCATTCTTAGTTTCTCTCCTCCTCAATGTGCGCTGCTCTGTGTCCCCTCTGACACAGCGCAGCATCCAGCGGGAAACAGAGAAACTGTTAGGAGGCTAAGCAGGGTGGGGAGGAGCGGGGTATCATTGTCATTGTCACAGGAGGCCAAGCTCTCCTCCCGCACCGCCACACCTCCTGTGATAGATGGTGATGGAGAGTGGTATGGGGAAGGAGAGATTTCTGAGCGGCAATGTCACAGGAGGCCGAGCTCTCCTCCCACACTGCCCAACCCACTCAGCCCCCTGTGACAGATCAGGATGGAGAGCGGTGTGGTGGCGAAGACAGCTGTCACAGGAGGCCGAGTCGGTGGTGTGGGAGATGAGTCAGCTGTCAAAATAGAATGAGCACTCCTCCCCACAACGCCAGCTCAGCTCCTCCTCCAGCGAGTCAGGATGGAGAACGGGTACAAGCAGTCAGTGATCGCTCACTGTTTGTAATTAATTGTCCCCAATTATGAACAGGAAGTGCTCCCCAATTATGAACAGGAAGTGCTCTACATCACTTCCTGTTCATTTACGATTGTGGTTATAGTAAACATACTATCGTCACAAGTTTTAAATGAACAGAAGCACTCAGTATAGAGGCTTCTTGTTTATTCATATCAGGGGCTGCAGAAAAAGAGCTTGAAGACTCTGTGTCTTCAATCTCTTTCTATTTTAAAAGGGAAATCTTAGGGGTTTGTTTAGACAACTCTGATATTTCCCCAGAGCCCCAACAGTAAAGTAAGAAAATAAAAATATTTAATAAGATAAATAAATAAAATATAAAAAAGAATTAACTTTAGAATAAATAAATATTTAGTAAAAATTTTAAAAAGTTCGGAAAAAATAAGTTTGGCCTGACATTTTTTTAATTTTGGTTTCAAAATGTAATTTCGGTGCACCTCTAGTATAAACTAACAATACTAGTAAAGTGCAAGTACCTTATTGTACCTGTAAATGTCTGCCTTGTACCTGAGGAGAACCCAGCATCCTAGATCTAGGCTGTATGCAGGGCTTCGACTTCTTTCCCAGTCAAGATTAAAGCCAGTCCCTGTTAAGTTATCAAATTGCAGACCTGCAGGGAATTGCATGGAGCCTGAGCATTTGACAGTTGAATGATGGACAGTGGGACCTTCTGCTGTGAAAGAGCTGGGCTTGATCTTAAATTGGAGAAAAGTTGAGACCTTGTATACAGCCAGGGCCTAGGATCTGCAGACATAAAGGAACTAATCGGATCAATTGATCTGATCTGTTAATAAGGTTGTTCATATTAATTTTGTCGTAAATAAAAGATAGTGTTTCAGCTAAATAATGGAATGACTGAATCTTTCAGCTTTGATTTCATATGTGGCAAGATGAATCTGCTAGAATCATGATCATATGTGACACAAGAGAGGTTCAGTGGGATCTTGATAAAGGTTAACTATAATATTTTATTGCTCATCGAGGTATTGTATTAGAGGTAATATCATATAAACAGTCTCGTATACATAAATGCTTATTTTTCTTGACCTGGTAATTCAACTTCTTTCTTCTGTCTGCCTTTAAAAGATAATCAGCGAAGAAAGATTCCGGCAGTTAGAGAAGATTAAGACTATTGGCAGTACTTATATGGCAGCTTCAGGCCTAAATGATACAACGTATGATAAAGAGGGGAAGACACACATTACAGCCTTAGCAGACTACGCAATGAAACTGATGGAGCAGATGAAATATATAAATGAGCATTCCTTCAATAACTTCCAGATGAAGATTGGTGAGTGTTATGCTCCTATATTATGAAGATAATCAACATTACATCATGCATCCACAGTGCTATATCTTGTCCATTTTTGAACTACATAAACTTGGTTTGCTGCCTCTTAAGAGGTTTTTCTTGCGCCATTATCACAACTTCTAATTTGCTTTATAGTGACTCTATGGTTGGCCATAAATAAGAGGCGGATGTTCAAACCATGTACCTGTAGGTACCTGCAGGTATGCTTATATAGCTTGTAGAGCACCATTATGCACATCTCAGCTAGCTTCTATAATAGAAACTCTACCACCTCCCAGGTCTTTCTCTTTTGGTGAGGTTGTGAGTCTGAGCTCTTGACCATAGAAGCTGGTTGAGATTGGTATAATAGCGCTCCCGGGGAGCTTTACCAGGATATGTGGAATGCACAAGGTTTCTATTTTTATTAGTTGACGCTAGTTTACCTTTTTAAGTGAGGCTATCTTAACTTATGCTAATTTTATTGTAAAGGTTGTTTGGCCACAAACTATGTAAATTTTTACTGCCATAACTTATTGTCATGTGCTTTCAATAATTAATCCTCATATTTTATGGTTGTATCTCTTGCAGGGCTTAACACTGGGCCTGTTGTTGCCGGTGTTATTGGCGCCCGTAAACCCCAGTATGATATTTGGGGAAACACTGTGAATGTAGCCAGTCGAATGGACAGCACTGGAGTACCAGACCGCATACAGGTGAGTTTCTTTTAGTTGTAAATCAAAATTTTGTAATTTTACATTTTTACCTCCCATGAGCACAAATGCACCATAGAGGCACAATGAGTAAGTGTATTCATGTCTGGATTCCGATTTAGCTACTTAGTTTAGAATCATGATCACTGCAGTTAAGATGAGAAATAACATCTGATAGGAACTAGTTTGAATAGCTTAATGTTGCACATCTGTTCAAAATGAAAAAGAGTGACAAATAATACAATCATATTGCATCTATGCCTAAGAACAAGAAATAGATATGTTGCAATTTACCATTCCTGATACGTAGACCAGCATCACCAGTTCCATGCTGGTGAAGGGCAGAAGATAAGATTACTGCCCACAGGTTGTTCTGCTTCAGGGTAGTCATTTAAAAGCCTGCTGTGCAAAAACATAATTTCTCCAGAAGTCTGTTCTGTTTTCGGAGAAGGTTATTCACAAAGTTTGCGAGGGTGCCTGAAGTCTTCCTGTCTATTCTTGTATTCAGTGGCTTACATTTAGGACTTTATATTGTTGTCTTTAAAGATGAATCACAATTTGTCCTCATTATCAAGCATACACAGTTTAGTAACTACAAAAAAAAACAAAAGCCATACAAGGTATTTATTAAAGAAGTAAACCTGTACATTGTCTTTTAATTAGTCTGTTGAGAAGGTAGGGAAAAGCTTCCGCAGGTTAACCCTTAAATGGCTGATAGCATATCAAGTAACAAGACTTTTTAACCAAAAGACTTGTTTTCCATTTTTCAATGATAATTACTGTTTGCTTTGTATCTCTCTGCATAATGCATGTATTTACTAACTGTTCTTCTCTTGTAGGTTACAACTGATCTGTACCAGGTCCTGGCAGCCAAAGGTTATCAGCTGGAGTTCCGAGGGGTTGTTAAAGTCAAAGGGAAAGGTGAAATGACCACCTATTTCCTCAATGATGGGCCGGCCAGCAGTTAGCAGGAACCGCTGCTTTCAGGGGAGGGAGGAAATAGAAGCCTCATCCTGACCCCATGCAGAGTACCCAGAACAATAAGGAAGCTACCTACATGATCTGCAGCAATGCAGGTGCCAGGGGGCTCAGTGGTGCCAAAGCCTCGCACCTGAAATGGAGAGCTTGGCAGGAGCGTGTTTGTATGGTGCTGTGCTCAGTGTCTGTGCTGCCCTGCCCAGGAGACTGACTCACCTTTACAATGAAAGCCAACTGCAGCAGCTTTCACCTTGGCACTTAAAATACTCACAGACGGTACTTACAAATTATTTATTGTGAACCAGACATCATGCTATTTTCTTTTTTTTCTCTTCTTTATTTTTTTATTGTATTGGTTTAAAAGACAGCAAGAGAATCATTTTAAAACAGACTTTTCAAAGACAAAAAAAAGAAGCTTCTCATAAAAACTGACCAAAGAGCCAGACGTACGGGCCACAGCAGGGACTGAGGGCATTGCCTTGTATGTTTATATGCGCTGTATGTTTTCTCTACCGTGAGTGAGTAATATGTTTCCAGCAGCAGATGGAACAGTTCTCTATACGATCTGCAGTAACCCCTGCAGGGATGGAAAAAGGGCGACAAAATCTCTGTAGCTCAGTACTTTGCTTCAGTTCCATGTCATCGCTGCCATCTGTACGGTTCTGCACTTCCTCGCTTCCAGCCAATGGAGACAAGCAAACAGGAGATGATGATATATCTACATGGAACTGTCAGAAGTTCCATTTTAGTGCATTTTTGCTTTGACTTTCCCCTTGCATCTTCGGACAGAGTTGCTTGGGAACCACATCCTAATAACAGGTGTCAGCATCCTCTGCCTATTTTGATCCCTTTGCTGAATTGCCTTTGATTCTTTAGATGAACTTGTGCAGTGGCATGAGGAGAATTATGTGCTTATCTGTCCACACCCAACAACACACTTGTGCTCTTTTTTTTTCCCTTCACTGTGAAGCTGTTGTTTTCTATGTCTCGTTTGCCAAATTTCACAACCAGCCTGCGGAATAAGAGAGTCTTGGGATTGAAGAAAAGGGATTAATGCTTCATCTGATAAGGGCAGAAAAGACTGTTTTAGGTACTAGCTGGCCTATGGATTCTTCAGGCTGCAAGGATAGCAAGCGCCTTAATCCTTAAATAGTAGACCATCAGAGGGTTAATCAAATGCTTGTCATAGGGGAGATACCATCTTCATTTGAGATGAACTTTCACAACTAAGGAAGTAGGGGGAGTTTTAACCTCATTGACAGAGCTTATCTGCGAAACCATTGCAAGCCAATGTGTTTCATATTTATGCCTCAAGGGTTGCAAGAAAACATGGAATATCCAGTTATGATGATAGACTTGCAAAGGAAAGAGTCAATCCTTAAATGTTTAGCGGTATTAGCTATTAACCTCAGTTACCTTTCCACCTTTTTCACGATACCTACATAAGGGATGATGGCTTTTGTGCAGGTATTCTGCTAATTTACTCTCAGGCATTGATGGTCTTGATCTTCTGATAAAGTCCAAAATCCAAACACCGTTAAGGAGTATATTAACATGGGATAGCGCGGGGGCGTGCAATGCCATATCTGGTGCCAAAGAGGAAGAAGGTTACAAGTATACATTTGGGCTGTTTGTATTGGCGCTATAACAGATTCTACAGTTTCTCTTGAAATATTGTTTTAAAAAAACACTAAGTATTTTACACCTTTTTGTGAGAGGATGTAGCAGAAGGTTAAATCACCATAAAGTAGAATTCCGTTTATTTTTCTATTAATATAAAAATGTTTGGTAACTTTATTTCTAGCGCACATGCGATGGACAAAACCAACAGCCTCAAGTTATTGCTAAGTAAATGAACACAACATATGGTTCCAACATTGTTCTTTTAGTAAAGGGGATGCAAAAGAAAACATTGAAACATTGCTTAAGGAGACGGATCCCAAATGACTTCTTAGTATAGGCTTTGAAATGACAGTTTTAACATTTAGTTGCTGTGAGCAGGACCTCCATGTTCCATTGTTTTGTAATTCTGTAGAATATCCATGTAGGCAAGTTATAGGACTACAGGCTGCTGTGTTGTGTATTCAGAAGAATAGCCACATCTAACCTAAGCCTATTGTTTAGGTCTGTCTGTTTTGCAAGCTGGTGAATTGTGTGTTTGAATGTTTTGCCTAACCTGGTATAAGTCCTACCTAGTCCAACCTCTGCAGTCAATGGCATTGTGGGAAAGAGGATGAAGTGCCTTGAACAACTCTGTAAAAAATTTCCATGGTAGTTAAATCCCGTTTCCCTGCCATTACGTTGCTTTGTGCTCTATGTCTCCACATTGGCGAGAGGATTCCATTAAGATGTCCTTTTCTGTTACTCTGCTGACACTACTTCTATTATTCGTACTAAGCTTGTTGCTTACACGGGCAGCACCTTTAGGCCAAAAAGAAAAAGAATTAGGATCTCAACCTCCAAGATGCAGCAAGCACCATGGTGGTGTACTATTCACTTTGTAAATTTTGCAGTTGTCTAAATCCACTGTGTAGAAAAGAATTATTGAAGCCTTGGCCTTAATGACCTTTACCATCTCTTCATTTTGCACATTAGGATTTGTAAAATTGTTGAGGAATAGGGAGTATAAGCGTTTATATTGAGCCTCATATTAAATAGTATATATCATATATTACAGACTTGAAGAGTTGATCCACATAGGAGTTGATCCCACACTGAGTGTTATTTATTTTTTTAAGATCATACATATATTTTTAGGCCTGGAAATGTTTCCTCATACCACACTAAAGTTTGTGGTGTTAAATATCCCTTTGTGCTGCTCACGTTACCAGCTCTGGCTGAATTACTGTTGTAATGTTCACTTGCCTTACATTATAAATGTCTTGTTCAAAAGAACAGGAAGTCGAGAGTGCATTCTTATATGTTTTCCCTTCATTGAAGTTTGTCTCTTTACTTGTATCGTTCATATTTTGAAGATTTTTATTTCTCTACAGTTTAACTGTTAATAGAAGAGGTCAGGTAATTGCACGACTGAAGTACACAGACTATAATAACTGATAATACTGGGCCTCATTGACTCAAGGGAGCGCTTTTTACCAGCACACAACATAAAGAAAACCTTCACTTATTACTTTTATCTGTTCAGCCAACCACTCATTACAATACACTCTCTGCCACCCAGACAATGGCTTCTCTGTTTGACTACTTTGTGGTTCATATATTTAAGATGTGTTGAGGGGAGAGTTATCTTACCCAGTCTGCCCTGGCCATAACTGCCAGTAAAGCTAGCCATACTTGGCTAGATTTTCTCTCATTTGGTCTGTGGTTGAACGAGAGAAAAAAATAAATAGATTCCTCCATCCACACTTAACAGCATGGATAGAGGACTGTCCACTTCCGGCCATTGTATTCGGGGTGCTGCAGGTGTCACGGCTGCCCAAATAACCGATCAATCACTGCATCTTATAAGGTGTTGTCACTTTTCTGTCAATTTTGTTTTCACCCCTGCTCAATTGTCGATTTTTTTATAATTGACATTGGTAAAGCCAAGTGGTGCTTGCAACCCACCCATGGTTCAACGTTTCACCTATTCACCAGGAATCATCAGAGTCTGCCTTTTGTTCTTCCAGTGCCATATGAGAGATGGAGTGGAAGAACCCAAGTGGCTGCTTTGAGCAGAAGAGACTGTTTAAGATAGTTCTAACTTCAGAGACTTTCATAAATGAAACTTTGTGTAGTTGGTGCAGTGGGAGGCATTGATACGATTGTAAATCATCTAGAATAATCAGGAGTATTCAGGCAAGTTGCTTCTTTCAGGGTGACTCTTTCTGTTGTAGATGGGAAAGAAAGCATTTGCCTGCCGGCTACCAACAGCAGACAATTTTCCTGTGCTCTAAAATTTATGAACGAGGCATAGTGTTATTTCTGTAGGCAAATCTTACTATTATGTGTGCTGCCTTAAGGAAGCTTTTTATGACATGGATTTTTTTTTTTTTTATTGATAGCCACAGCATGAAAATTTGTGACCGAGCTAATGATTAATGTACCATTTTACTGAGATCCTGTGGTGACCCTGGTTTTTTTAGGAGAACATCCTTTTGTCTGAGAAAATCCCAGGCATACATCATTTCCATATGTCTCTAGCCTTAACCCCTGGACTTTCCATGCATCTGTATTAATGATTTTCTTACACAATATATAAAATATGTGCCATATTTCATTCAGAAGAAAAGCACCCTTCAATGAAAGGGACAGCGATCCATTTATAGGGGAAATTGTGAATTTCTTTTAATTTTTTTCAATTGTTTTGGTACATTGTACATGAAATGTTTTAGTGTTTAAGGAGAAAACTATGGTTGCAATGTCTAAGGCCTGGTTCACACTGAGCGTTTTGTCGCAATAAGCAAAATGCCTGTCGCTGGAAAAAGTACAGGAGCTTTTTTTTTGGCCCCATAGACTCAAAAGGAAATGCTTGAAAACGCACATTTGTTGTGTTTTTGCGCATTTTAAGCACATTTGGTCATTAACATCAATGAGCTACAATCTGCTCACAAAGACGCACAACTTGATTTATGCACATAAAACGTGCATAGAAATGCGTAAAAACACTATCGCCTAGGTGTGAACCCAGCCTAATGGTTTCTTTGCATTGGTTAATACTGACTTAGCAGTGTGTTTCATTTGTGCATCTTACTGAATCTATTTTTCTTTCCTATCCCTAAAAGTGGTTCCGACTACACAAAGAAGATAATCTAATAATTTTCTAATGTTTTAAAGTTTTAGACGAATATATATTTATAAAATATAATTTA